AGCAAATTTACAATTGAGGTTAACCCAATGTTATTCCTACATACAATTTACAGTTATTTCTGTACCATTACGACCGCCCTCCACAAGTCTCAACAACATACTAACAGCAACGCACCATACTACCACCGTACCATACCACCACACGAACACAGCACCTATTTACCACACGACCGCCACACCACGCGACCTTTACTACCCCATCCTCACCACAAGACCGCCGCACTACACACACACACACACACACACACACACACACACACACACGCGCGCGCGCGCGCATATTATATATTCACACTAGAGGTTGCACACAATCGCCGATCCACATTGCGTGAAACAAATAGTATGATCCTATACGTACGCATTGAATTTTTGGCACACATCATAAAGGCTGCGGTCAATGGGATATTCCCACGCTTGATAGAGATGGTAATATTGTGTGGAACGGGATGGCACTGCCTCAGCGGGGACAAGCTCTTAAGTGCATTGCGTGTAAGTGTGTGTGTGTAAGGGGTGAGGATAAGACGCGGAAACGGAAGGAAAGATCGTTTGCTAGGGTGCTGCTCCGGCGTTCGTCTGGTGTTGATAGTAGAAACCGCCGAAAACTCATCACATCAGAGCAGCCGGCCACTAGAATTCTCCTCCACACGGCTGTATTCGTTATGTAGCTAGTGTCGAAAGTCCTGTCACCATGGATTGGAACACTAGAACCTCGTGGTCAGGAGCAATGCAGAGTTTGTGCCTCAATGTCCCGCCTGTGACTAATGCTTTCAGCCGCCTTAGCCGGCGTGGACATGCATGATTGCAGGAGTACTTGTGTGCGCAGGGTTAAGTGTCATTGTGATTGTGTTTGTGTGCAGGGGTACGTGTCATTGAGATTGTGTGTGTGTGCGTAGGATTAAGTGTCATTGTTATTATGTATCTGTGCAGGGTTAAGTGTCATTGTTATTGTGTATCTGTGCAGGGTTAAGCGCCATTATGATTGTGTATGTGTGTGCAGGGATAAGTGTCATTGAGATTATGTATGTGCGCAGGGTTAAGTGCATAGTGATTGTGCGCAGAGTTAAGTGCACAGTGCTTGTGCGCAGGGTTAAGTGTCGTTGCGCTTGTGCGTGCAGGGGCCCCGGGAGCTCGTCGGGCGGCGCGGCGCGGAGCTGGCGCGCGCCGTCCGTGGTGGTGAGCGACTACTCGGACGACGTGCCCGCGTGCTTCGCCAGCTTCGCCTGCGACGAGGACGCGGCCGCCGCCGCCGCCTCCGCCTCGGACGACGCCTCTGCCTCCACCTGCGCCACGAGCGTGTGTGCGCTGCGCACGCCCGAGCGCAAGGCCAGCGACTGCTCCACCTGCTCCACGCTGAGCGGCGCCGACGACGACCGCCCCGCTGACGCGCTGCTGCAGCCGCTGCGCTCCTGCAGGACCAAGGTAGGGCAGGCGCTCCCTCCGCTCTGGGAGCTCCAGTGCTTCATGAATCGAATCTCCGGTACTTGTTTTCTAGATCAATCGAATCTTTATTACCCGCTATCTCGGTAACTCGATTCTCGGTTACTCGCAATGACAATAACTCGGATCTCCTTTACTCGCAGTGACAATAACTCGAATTATCATTACTCGCCATCTCGATAACTCGAATCTTCCGTTACTCGCAAAAACAATAACTCGGATCTTCGTTACTCGCAATCTCGATCACTCGAATCTCAGTTTCTCGCAATAACATTAACTCGTATCTTCATTACTCGCCATCTCGGTAACTCAAATCTCCTTTACTCGCAATGACAATAACTCGAATCATTACTCGTCATTCGATAACTCGAATCTCCTTTACTCGTAATGACAACTCGAATCATCATTACTTGCCATCTCGATAAGTCGAGTCTCGCTAACTCACAAACTTCACAACTGGAATCTCCATTACTCGCAAACTACATAATTCGAGACTGCATTACTTGCAATCTCGAATCACCATTATTAAACTCCATAACTCAAATCTCTATTACAATATCGATAACTAGAGTCCCCATTAATTGCAATATTGATAATTCGAATCTCTTTACTTGCAATTTTGATAACTTGAATCTCCATAACTCGAACTTTCTTATTTCGCTTATTTCTCAACTGCTCCAAGGTCGATCACTCAAATTTCGATTGTTTAATTTTTGAACACTCGGATCTCATTAAATTAAACGTGCGTAACGCGAATTTGGAGAAACACTCTCGATACCTGAAAGCATGGTACTTCAAAGTGTGTCAGTCTATTCGCCTGCAACACATCCGAACAAAACACTGAAACCAGCGATCAGAGCAACCATCTTCTAGGACTCTCATCCTGATAGCTGCTTGCTCCGACCTCGCTATTTGTGTGGTTGCGAAAATCTGTGCAGTGGCGGGACTGGAATCTATCATAGCCTGTACATTAAAAATCGTGGAGCGTTAATAATTCGGACGTCAAAGACTCAGACCATCGATTCTCCATTTGACATTGGGGGAAAATGTCAAGGGAATACTTCATGAACATTCAGCTCTCTTTAAAAGCGTCGACTCGACTTAATAATTAGATACTCACTACACATCTTGTATCTTCTTGTAGGTCTCGATTTACTGTACATAAATGAGTGTACATCTCTACCCACAATATTGTAAGTACACATTAGTATTTTTTCTGACTAAAAACCTTTACATTTACTACATAAATGGTTTTATTCACCTGTGTGACGTACCGTGCCACTGAACTTACTCTGACGCACTATCACGGCGAATAAAGAACAATTTTAGCAAGATTTGTGTATGACAAAAACGTCTACCGGCACTTCATCAATATTTCTAACTGTTGACACTTTTATTTCTTTCGCTGTAGACCTATAAATATATTATCAATTTGAAAAAATCCGGACAATTTGATACTCCAGAATTGTTCCGAAATATCGACGTTATTCTGTAAACACATTCAAATTTCAAACGGATTGAAGGCAAAAAAACGTTTTATGTGACTTTGAATGTGCTAAATCTCTGAAACGTCCCTGTCGCAGAGTGTCACTCTCAGATATAGAACTTTTACTTTTGCCATTCAGATTCGAGTTATGGAGATTCCACTGTAATTTTTGAGAGGAATGTCTGGGTCTGAATTCGCATATTGAATTATCGCCTCTTCAAACCGAGACATATTTAATCGCAAATCATTGCTAGTGGACTCGCGTCTGCAAATATACAATGAATTTTGCACGGAACACCGAAAATGTGTTGAGAAACACGTATGTAGGTAACGCAAAGAAAATTGGTCTGAAAATGGAAAATTAATTAGTGTCGACTCCAGCCAAAGTCGACTATCTTCACACTCCATTCGTGATACATTACTTCACTCAACGAATTATGGTTGGTGAATGAAACTGTTGTGTAAATCTCAAGCTGCGTACTATTTTAGTCTCAGGACCAGTGAATGGTCTGCACTTGTAGGAGGGAATAATTAGTTTTATGATTGCCTTTTGTATCTTGGTGTTATGCTGGATATATGTCTCGTCGTTGTTCAACGAGCTTTCGTCGCACTTCATTACCGTGAGAGGCCTCTTCTTTAGTGCTCGTTTAAGGGCTTGTGTGACGTTTAAGATTCATCTGCTGCTGAAGCTGTTAATTCCACCTCAAGGACCTCTACTCTAGGTAAGTACCAATGTCGTGTGGCTTCACTTGCTTCTACAGTAAATGTGCTCTGGGATTGTAGTGTGAATACAATTCTGAAGTATGAGGCGATTGCTCTGTTGCGGAGATCTTGAAAATTCAATAGGTTTTCTTTAACATGTACAAGGTTGTTTATTTTATTCTTTTCTTTTTTAAATTTTAGTTTTTCGTCAATACGTGATCCTTTACTTCTTTTAACAAGTATACGATCATATTTTACGTTCCTGAAGGTCGAAATTCCTGAAGTTCCTAGATTCCTGTCGTTTCATTTCTATGATGTTTGTAAACACCAATCTGTTGGATCTCTACATTTTTTGAGGGAAAGAGAGTGTGATTTTATTGAAGTAATCCTGCATTATAAGATGCAGGCAGTTGTTTTCAATGGTATTGAAGGGTCTAACTGATTCTTGCTATTCGTTAGTGGTAACATTCTACTGATTATGACAAAAGAAATAAATTCGTCTCTTCTGCTTTTAGATTTTTCGTTCATTTTAATGTGTTATTTTTACCTGGCTCTTAAATGCATTACTTAAGCGCAAAATATTTTTACTATCAGAGTAGTGTATTGTTAGTGTTTTATACTTTCTATCACACTTGCTGTTGCGATTCCCCTATAGTACCAATAATATTCTGTTTTCAGCATGTCGTAGATAATAGTTTTGTACTATTTCTTGTCTAGCTAGATCAAGGTTAGAGCGGGTCGTTGCACATACGCTCGTCTTATCTCGTAACTTTTCTGGTCTAGAGCGAAATAAAAGTCTTTAAAGTTAGAAATAGAAAACAGTGTGGATTAAATCCAAGTCTTCTAATAAATCTGAATAAATCGATAAAAAGTGCAGTCAAAGACTTATGTTACCGTTATTTAGAAAATAATATTGAGCAACATTGCATAAAATATATTAGGGGGTGGACTTCATCGGAAGAACCAAAGTTTCTGTGCATTATTTAATTTCATGCCAGACCAGTGCATATAAAAAAGTATTGATGGATGCTGTTTATTGCACAATATATAATGGAATTACCTGCCGCAATGGTAATATTTATTCAAGAATTATAAAAAAACAATTAAGAATTTCATGCTAATTTGGGGGAATTTTGTTCTTGCCGCACCCCCGCATAATGGTGGCAGAGACAAATTATATCTTCTTTTTTTTGTGGTCTATCAGCGAGGCCAAGACATCCCGGAGATAGATTCAGATGCAAGCTATCGCTATTAAAATAGACCAGGCATGTCACGGCCGTGGACAATGAAACTAGCTCACTAGAGTTCACGGGCAATGAGCCCAGACAGAGCAACTGTCAGGAGATTTAGAAATAAGGACGGTAGAAATTGTTTTGGGGTGTCGGTAGGTCTCAGAGTTCCTGGCCGAAAACAGTGTAGGACAAGTCAGTTGACAGGTATTCCTCCAAATTATATATTAAAAGAAATTATTCATTAAAATTAAATACATAAGTAATAATTGAAATTTAAAAGTAAAAATAAAAACTTGAATCGAATAAATCTCGAGTTTGTTATCGCGTTAACACAATAGTGTAATAGCTACGTTCTACGTTCGGATTAAGATACAGACAAAGATTGTTGTCTCTTAAGAGATGTCGAAATAATGAATCTAGTAAGATTAAGTGTTTTTAGGGGAGACAATCTGCATAAAGAATAGTTAATTTATTTCACATTTTTGCTATGTACAAGAAATAAGACATAAAACGAAAACAGGCAAAGAATTTGCCATTCAAATAAATCCCTGTCCCTTGGCAAAATGATAATATAAGGGAGAATTTGAAAATAAAATAAATTTAATGAATTAATGAGAAGTAGAGTATACACATATAATTATAATCTCACTTTTCTGGAAGCAAATATCTGGCAAACATACCATCGTACAGAACAAGCATTCTTCGTGATATTTCGTTACATTTCGATATTACTTACCGTCTCCGCTTTATCTTGCTCCTGAACACTTCTTTCTGGATTTGGAGGGAAAGTAAGAGGGGAGTCAGGAAACATTTACCATTGCAGTAACCGCGCCCACATTATGCATTCTATTTTAAGAGTGAATTTTTTTCAATTTGCTATTTACTAGCTTCAAGTAGACCATTTTTGATCAACTATACCGCTGAACTGAGTAGTACAATATTAACGCCCGGTGCTGTGCATGAGAAAACGTCTTTGAATATAATTTGTATTTGCAATATGTTTACAAAACATAGGTAAATTAGTTGGCCATCTTCCAAATGTCATTGGTAAATACTGTGACTCCGTATTTGGAGGAACTTAGTCCTGTTCGATTAAATTGCACGGAATATCAAAAGGTCAATTTAATTTTACGGATACAAGGATTTCCAGATTCTTTTCGTTTCCGACCCCCTATGCTACATAGTGGAATTTCCCTACGGAACACAACCTCTCGAAATGTAATGTAAAGTTTCTAAAGGTTTCATTTTGTAGATTTCGGCTTGAATAACTAACAAGTCAGAGGGTTGGATATCAGATGCAAGACTCATCGTTTATGAATAGTTCACAATCGCACGCTCTAGAACTAACAAACGAATGAATAGGGTATCATTCAGTAATAATTTTTGATGATGCTCGGGGTTTTAACGGATTGTGAGGATTTATCAGAAACCTATTTACAAACCTTTCATTCGATAACTCATTCATCGTTTTTCTTTTAGTATGTGAATGGAAAGTGTTGACAAGAGTAATATTATCGTCTATAAACGATTAATTGCACAAGCTGGATTTTTCTATGAGTCTGTAGATTTCTGTTGATCTATAAATGAAGGGGTCCGTCATCTTAATGTATTCGTACAAAGAAAACATTGTTGATTAAGGTACCGTTTTATAAGAATTTTTCATTAATGCTGAGTTTAAATTTAATTAATTTATTTTTTCTGTCTGTTTATATAGAAAACGTACTGGGCTATAAATGAAAATCAAACACTCAATGAAATTTTGTGATTTTTTCTGTGGATAAAAAGAAGATCCTGAAAGTGCCATCATTCGCGTTTATTAAGGGTTGTAAATTGTGCGAGTTGAATCTAAGCTATCGAAAGCTGTCGTCGTATGGTCGTCTGTCGCGACAAAGAGTGCGAGTTTGAGGTTATAGTTCGGGAAGAAAAGATGGCGTGTGTCAGTGCGAAGATCAGTGTGTGTTTTGAAATACGTAGATCAGAGAGTTATAAATACTGTAAAATTTAGTGGTCACCTACTTATTAGTGGTTACCTATTTATTAGAAAAATCCATGGAGGCTGTAAGGAGGAGACTCAACTTTGGCGTTAGAAGCATGATTAGGTGTGCACGAAAAACGTCGGCACCTAATCGGCACACCTGAACTTTAGCGACATCACATTACGAGTGAAGGACATTTTTGAAAATAAATTTATTTAAGGTCGCTTTTCAACAACTGGGTCGTACGCGAGCAATTTATAATTTACGTAATATACATTTTGTACAGTTATTCCATTACACAATTGCATACAATTCTCACAAGCATATAAATGGTCAATATGCATTAATATTTAGGTACTTACATCATTGCGATGGACACACATTTTTTTATTTGTATTACACAAGATTTGGATATTAATAACAAGTTTGAAGAATTATTCTAGATGAAATTTAGGTAAAGGAGGATCTTTATATTAAGGTATCAATTTTTGAGGTTTTTAAAAGTTGTAATACTTTTATACATTCTTCTAGGGAGGAGAAGTAATTAAATAGTCTTTTAAATTTAAAAACTCTCTTCTATGGGCTAGTTCAGGGCACTCCAGAAAAATGTGGGATGTAGATATTAGGGATCCACATTTAGGACAGAATGATGGGACAGTTTTTGTGTGTTTGTTTTAGATGAATGTGTGAGAGATTAAAGTGGACAATACGACTGGTAATTTGGAAGTGTTGGAATCTAGTGAGTTGGTTGGGTGATAGGGAGAGAGGCGTCAATAACGGTTTTTCTTGCGAGGTGAAGTTTCGAGAAGGTAGTCAGCCATTTTTCAATCGAAGGAACTTAACTCGACATTTTTCAGCCAGTAACAACAACATGCCTGCACGTTCTTGATCAATGCCATCCACACTGTAGTGTGTGTAAGTGTAGGTAGCGCTGATTCGATACATGAGCTTGGTGGCCATTGGCCCAAAAATGCCTTAAAAGGCTCTCCCGTTGGCCGCGTGATGTCAGTTGAGTCGACTAGCTGCCGAGCGTTACATACATGCCCCCACCATCAGAGTTTTGAATCTCGTCCTTACAGTCTTCATGGTAAAGTCTCTATTAATGAACGCGTATTATCCGTACTTCTGGGGGGCGGGGGAAAGGGGCTGAAGCCCCACGAATCGAACCCCGTCTTTTAAGCCCACAACTGTGAGCGATTGTTTAAACTCGTCGGTTGTTTGTATCTGCTGAATACAGGCTCTGGGATCCTCCCAGCTTTGATTTGGTTTGATATATTTTGTCAAAGAACAGTAAAACTGTTTGTGAAGAGATAAAAAAACTGTAAAAGCGATAATAACTGTATGGGGAGAGGTAGAATCTGCGCAGGTTTACTTGAATTCTGGAATCTTTCCCTCACCCTTCAACCATAAATACTTCAAACAACTTAACAAAAGTACAAACAAAAGGAGGTGAGTAACACTTTGACATTTTCGCTTCCCAGTTACACAAATATTATTGTCATTGGTAAACGAACTACAGATTTGTGTTGTGTTTCAAATAGTAACGCACACACTCGATTATACTTCTACTTAAACTTCCAAAGGGAGAGACCAGCATAACGTACGCATAGTGAAGCTATATTTACGCCCAGAAGCAAAACAAGGAGCCATCTCAGCATTCGCTCAATGGATCAGGGAAACTGGACAAAACCCGATCGAGATGGGGGTCATTGACCCAGAAGCTAAACTACGTTACTTGTTACAGGCATATTACGTTTTTTTAAATTATCCAACTCAAATGGTTAGTAATGCATTATGTATATGATTCCTAAAATAACTATTTTTTCCTTTTTGGCATTCAGTAAATTCTCTAATCGTATAGAAACCGCTCGCAAGAATTCTTGTAGCCTCCGTAGTTGCGTCGTGGGCCTGCTGGTCGCAGAGGTGTTTCCGCGATCTCTCTCGATCTGAGAGAAAAGAAGAGAAAGCCGTTGAGGAAGAATACAGTGTGGTGACCTCGGGGATTGTTGGGTGCAATTTCTCCAGTCGCCTTTGACCTCGTACGACATACAGGTATTTTTGGCTCTCGGTACAGTTTCGGTGGAAAAATATGTCTCTGAAACTAATTGTAGGCGTTTGCTTTAAAATAGTTGAAACAGTAGTTTACCAAATATTTTTTGGTTATTTAAGGTCGCATTAACATCTAGATCATTAGCGAAATATTGTTAAAACTAATCAAATGATTGAGACAATTAAGCCCGTATTATCGTAAAACAAATTTGCTTTGATATGTGTTAAGCCTTGCTTTGAGAGAAATTTGTTTGTTTATATGCAAGTTTGTTTAATTTATACAACAGAAGGCAAATTTGTTCACAAATGGCTTAGAAAATTGTATGTGAAGAATTCGACCAATGGTAAAACTCTTTGGCAATTAAAAATAATTTAAGTTTGAACAGAAGTAAAGAAAGCCATTGTTCAGAATTTGTTCTCGTTTATTTTATAGAGAGTGTTCAGTAGTTTGAATTTGTTTTTATAATGATTTTAACCATTTTTATATTTTATTTTCGCGAGAAAACTATGTATTATTTTTGCAAAAGAATATAGTATGAAGTTTTACAGTTCATATTTTGCATTTATTAGCTTTAGGTGCATATTTCAATAACTCGTGGATATTTATGATTTTGATATTATTTACCTTTTTATGACTGTTGCTTTACTTATTTCTTTAGCTGTTGATTGCTAGGGAAAGCCATTTTTTTATATTGCTCGTGAGGGTATCACGTAACAATATTAGCGTTAGGAAAATGCAGTAATTTTAAGAAAGAACTTTGGAATTCGGCCGCTAATTATCCACTTTGATAATAGCATTAAAAATATGATGGTTGTTGCATCTGGAAAACAAGAATCAGATGTGTTGGGATTCGTTCATGATACTTGAGAAGAATGGATGCACGACAAAAAAACTAGTTCTCAGAAATAGTGATTGTAGTATTTAATGTGGCGGCGAAGGATAAAGTCAGTCATAAATTTTAAAAAATGGCGAAAAACAGAACGCCTGTTTGGTTTTGGATCACGTTTCTGCGAATCTCAAATAAAAAAAACTGATTAATCAGCAGTTTCAAAATTTCCTCTAGTAGTACAGGCAGAGAAAGATTTCAGAAGAACCCAAATTAAGAAAGGGATATGTTACCTCATTAGTAGATGTCATTAGAGAAACCATAAATATAATTTAAGTAGCTACATTTGAAGTAATTTTATTGGCTAGACTTCCTTACATTATGTGCACATAATGAGGTATTTTCTGCATATTTCTCTGATTTTCAGATGAGCATGCTTATGGTCATGATTTTAAGTTTGTATCCCGCTCCCCCGTAAGCAGGTCAATTGATAAAATTCTAAGATAGGTGCCAAATTGATGATTTTGAAGATGGTATAGATACCTGATTTCGAGGGCTTTGAGTGATGGTAAAGTTACTTGTGAAGTGTGTAATTGTTAATTCAACAAGTCGCTGTTGTACATATAATTTGACCAGAATTTATGCAGCATTTCGTGGATTTGTTTCAAACCTACGTTTACTTTGCCTCGAGGAATGATTTATAGAGATTTTTCGAGACGTTGCAAATATATGTGAGTGGAGAACGAATATGTCTGGTTTGTGGATGCGGACAGTGATGTGACATCAGATGTTTAGATAATTTCATATTGTTCTGTATTTTACGTGACTATGGAAATTGGTAATGAGCGCATTTCATTTCTTGACGAATCGACTTGAACTCCCATAAGACATAGGGGGGAGAGTACAAAAGTAAGCGAAACAGGATACGGAAAAGAAAGGAAGTTGCCTTGTCATGTTCCGAAGGTAATTGCTAAGAGTTTCACGTAATCGGGTTCAACCGCGGCCTTAATGATCATTGTTTACAGAATTTAGTGAGCGAGCCCATTGAGAAAGCTAATAGTATACTTCGATTTAATTTGTAAATTCTCGCTTTCGATTAGCTGGACGCGGGTATCCAATCGGGAGCATCGTTACGACTTAAAGTTTGGTATTGAAGCTCACAATTAGATAGCAGCGTCGCTACTGATCGTACGTCGGAAGTCACTATAATTAACCGATACTACTAATACTACTATCTAATACACACGAAATTCCATTGAGGATTTAGTAAGTGTGAAGTGTCAAGTGTCGGATGTGTAAGAGAATAGTAGTGTAAAGTGTACTGTGTGTTAAAAAAATGAGAGACAGTGTTATGATGGATTCATAATGTACCATTAGAGGGTATATTATCAAGTTTTTTCTACATAAATGCACAGGAATTTCGTAGATTTTTGGTACGTATGAATGCGGTCCCTTGTGATAGCGAGTGGCGCGCTGGCATCTGATAGCGGCGCCGCCGTGACGACGCGCCGTCCCAGTGACGCGTCGCCCGATCGCCTGACCCCTGATAGGCGCAGCCCCGCCGCCGCGGCGCGTCCGCCTCCGTTCCGCCTCCGCGCCGTCCGACCCAGCACGAACCTTCGTCTGCCCATGCTAGGGACTAAAGACATATCGCTGACGGATTTTTCCAAACATCCTTCTCCTTGGTTGTATAGAACATTGATTGTTTAGCACAACATATTAAAAGTGATGATTTTTTTAACATTGATTTTTTTAACGATTAATTTTTTAACATTGCCTTTTAACATTGGGGTTTTTTAACATTGGTTTTTTTAACATTGGTTTTTAACATTGGTTTTTTAACATTGATTTTAAACATTGATTTTTAACGCTGATTTTTTAACGCTGATTTTTTAACACTGATTTTTAACATGGGATTTTTTTAACACTGATTTTTTACAACTGTTTTTAACACTGAATTTTTTAACACTGATTTTTTTAAACACTGGATTTTTTAACACTGATTTTTTAACACTGATTTTAACACTGATTTTTAACACTGATTTTTAACACTGATTTTTTAACACCTGTTTTAACACTGATCTTTTAACACTGATTTTGATTAACCACTGATTTTTTAACACTGATTTTTCCTGATTTTTTAACACTGATTTTTTAACACTGATTTTTTAACACTGATTTTAACACTGATTTTTTAAACACTGGATTTTTTAACACTGGACTTTTTTACTGATTACACTGATTTTTTAACACTGATTTGTTTAACACTGGATTTTTTTAACACGCATTTTTTCTGATTTTTTAAACATATTTACATTGAGGATTTTTTAACATTGATTTTTTTAACATTCGATTTTTTAAATCATTGGATTTTTGTAACATTGATTTTTTAACATTGATTTTTTAACCATTGAATTTTAACATTATTTTAACATTGATTTTTTTAACATGATTTTTTTAACAATTGATTTTTTAACATCGATTTTTTAACATCGGAAGTTAAAAATCAACGTTGTTGTAAGATCTATTCGATTTTGTGTTACTTCCAATTTTATTATATCGAGTTTTTAAACTTGATTTTTAATATGAATGTTTCTTGTTCTAACTAGACATATCGGATGGTTTAAACATCGACATTTTGAAGCCTGGTGATTTTGCAATACTGTCGATGTTTGTGCTAGATTGATGTTCGTCTTCAGATATCTGTTAATCAATAATTCTCATAATATATAATTTTGTGAAAGCTACAATATGAAGTTAATAACCGATGGTATCACTGCCTTTTTTTTGTGTTCGAAGTAAAGGAACGCGGATTATCCTATTTACTACAAGCAGACTATTTCTCGGCACGTGTGGCCTGGAGGACAATTCCAGAGGCTGGCTGCTCTAATCGGAACTTCCTGTGGTTTCTCTGATCAATACCAGACAAATATCGGAGAAATACCTATCAAACGCGCGTCACGCGCGATCTCCTTCCCATTCCTTGTTCCCATCTTCATTCCTTAATTTCACATAAACGCACACACAAATCACACGTACATGCACTACACATACCGTGCTGGAAGACCGGGTCGGCGGAAACTCAGAGCTTGTCCCAGCTGGGGAGCGCTACGTACCAAGCTGGAAGATACCTGGATGGGGAAAGCCCACCCCGTTACCCGATGCGTCGGCCCCACGCCCTGCTCTCCCCCTCCCCCGCCAAACAGCGGGGAAGGAACAACCGCCACTTTTCAAGGGAAAACGTCATGCAATATCATTATCGCGAACTAATGACCGGTAGCAAGTTGACGCGCTCGGCTATCACTAATCAATTCATCGTCCGTGATGATCACCGATTCTCTGAAAACTCCTTACACTTCAGTTTGTTCACATGAAGTACGGCGGTCATTCGACGTCTGGGGCTATTAAGATCCATACTTTCTTCCCGGACCCTTCTTGGCGAAGTGATCAGCCCTGGGAGCGTCGGGCTTAGTTAAATACACGGTTTTCTTTTATTATTATTTACTTTATTTTCAGTTACATGTTAATTTTAAGATTAATAATTACACGGTTCACTAATCAAATTAAATTTTGTTCGCACGGGCAAATTTAATGCAATATGTTAATAAACTAACTTACGTTCTGTATCTTTAAAACACATTGCGATGTTATTTTGTTCGATGTACTTATACTCTCTCTATTTAAACATAGAGGCTTTCAAGGACCAGAGGCTCGGAAGCGTGACGGGGGGACACTGTTATCCAAGGACACTCATTTTGGTTATTGGAGTTCCCGAATTGGGATAACAGTGCCTCCATGTCCTCCAGCTCGTGACTTCGAAGTTAAGTGCCTCTGTGTTTAAATTCGAAAATAACAAACGGCTGTTGTTTAATTTTTCTTTACTCGTTTGGTAAATGTGTCGTGAGAAACCATCTCGAAACGATTTTGGAATACACGTTTCACACGCCCGGGAAACCGAATTACCTGATCAATTGAAAATGGTAAACTTTTTTAAAACATAACTCTTTATAAGGATAGAGTCAATGCTCTGAATAACATGACATAGACATTATTTGGATGTTTATCGTTTATGTTTAGGAACTATACACAAATGCTGGTTCCCAGTAGCAGACGTAAGGTGTACAAGACACGTAGTACTCGGGCACGTGCCATTGTACAGTCCCACTATAGTTTGCTTCTATTTCTGCGAGCGCTGCGCGCCACGGGGGGAGGGGAAGGGGCGGGGGGCGATAGGCCGCTTATCTTTCACTTCCGGTTCGCCCCGTTCTTCGTGACGGTGGGAGAGCGGGGAACCTTTTACTCTCCCTCCCTCCGCTCTCTCTCTCTCGCCATCACACCTCATCTGTGGCTCTTCCACTGGCCGCTGAGGGGCGACAGCGGAGCCATGAGTGTGCGTTCACGGTTGCGATTCGGTCCTCTCTGCCTATAATTGGTGTTACTCTCCTACCCGTTTTCTCTTCTTTCTTCCCTCTCTCTCTCTCTCTCTCTCTCTGAAGATTTCTTTTTTTCCTTCCTTCCCCCGTCTCTCTCTTCCCTTCTCTCGTTTCTCCTTTCTTTCTCTTGATCTATCATCCCCACCTCTCTTCCTTTCCATCCCTCTCTCCAATTCTTTCCTTCTCTCCCTTTCTTAATCTTTCTTAATTTCTCTTTCCCATTCCTTACTCTTCATATTTTCTCTCCCTGGCTCTGACCCTGATTTCTTTATGTGTCTCTTTTTCCTTCTTTCTTTGAAACTCTTTTTCACATTATTTTTTTTTGTTTCCTTATCTATTTGTTTCTCTTCTTTTCCCTTTCTCTTCCTTTTCCCTTCTCTACCTTTTTCTTTTCTCTTCCTATTCTTTTTCTCTTATTTTCCCTCTCTCTTCCTTTTCTCTTTCTCTTCCTGTCCATTTTCATTCCTTCCCCTTCTTTTTCAGTTCTCTTTCTAGATGACTGCTTTTGTTTTACGTTTTTGTCTTAGACGTATCTCGCTTTTCGTACATTCCTGCGTTTGTACACGCTTCAGTTAGATATCAGTCGTTTCCTGCATATCCACTCTCTGGGTTTAGCGCATTACTTGTTATTTTGTTACACCTTTCCCATTAACCTTCGTAATCACGTGTGTGTTTTGGTTTAACTTCGTGTCATAATTTTTATACCTGTTTCTAATTCGGATTATGTTACAGCATTTTCCTACTCTTATCAACACTTCTTCCTTCACCTTGTTGAGTTCTACTTGTACTTTACTTACAATATTGCAGGTTCCCTTTGTTCAGTTCCACTGCGTGCATTTAGTTTTTTCCTTTGTTCTTCCCATTTTATCTCATACCATTTCCTGTAATCGTTACTTGTCGACTTCCCTCTTCATTTTAAAAGTCTTGTGTGTTTTCGCATACCCGCAACAAAGGTCGCGACGGTGTCCGTCAGTTTAAACTCCGCGCCTCGTTCGCGTCATCAACATGGCCGCATTCGCGCGCGGTTTGTGCTGCCATCTGTATTGCGAAATAACTGCTAACAGTTTGTGAGAGCGTTGGTAGAGGGCAGCTCTGGTGCGCCTTTCACTTTCGGGGACCTTTTCTTGTGAATGGGCCGAGAACCTGTAGCCATCACTGTGGATCCGTCGGCAGCTGCGGATCAAGCTGATCATGGGTGGAGGGGATCAATGATTTTTGTTAAATAATAAACATATTTATTATTATATTGTTTTATTTTAGTAGTCTACATATAATATTATGCAACATTTAAAAAATAATCACATTATCCCAGCATAAATATTTAAATCAAGGTTTTAAAATAAAGGTAGCCTTCTTGGGGAAGGGGGCATGGCCCACATGGGACCCCTGGCTCCGCCACTGGCAGAGGGTTGTTAAAGGATGTCATCAGGACATAAGCGTCATAAAGGTATTTTTTTATCTATTGTTTTAAAAAATTTAAAAAACTGTGTGAAGTTTGCGAGAGAAGTATAACCTGCCTACGTTTTCTCAAGCCCTATAATTCATATCCTTTATTTCTCTATATATATTTGAATTAGGAATATAGTTACTAATAAGCGTAGATGGCCATATTTTAATATTTGAAAGTTCAGGACGCTTGTATAAAGAAAATTATTTGCATCGGCAAACAAATTACATTGTTAGTTTTGTGGTATTTTGGGCTCAATAACTACTTCCCTTACAACCAGCACAAAGACAACTCAAGAAAACTTGCGCACATTGTGTATCTAGATTTATGTCGGAAACAAAGTAAATAAGCATATAGATGAATGAAAACTGCAGGAAAAACCTGATCTAGATAGGGATCATTGTCTCAGAATCTGAAGTACAATACTTGTGCATAATAGGCTTGTGTAATTATACAGCACAAACTGATTATTAATATCTTTGTTCAAATAAATACTTGTTTTTAATGATCAGTAGTCTCTAGAATATAGAATTTTATTATTTATGAATAGTTTCCCTAATTGTTATTTTAGTTATTGTTTACTGCAGTATTATTAAGTAAAGATTTCGCAAGTCTTCTGTCGTTGTGGGGAATCTGGAAATACTGTGGTATGGGTAAACTGCGCTCTGATGTCTTGTATGATTTTATAACGTCAAGAAAGACTTTCTTATTCCTTTAACGGTGGGCTACACTAAAAGTCAGTTTTATTTTTAATTCAAATCTAAGCGACAACGCAAATTGTGGTGATGCTATTTCATATTGCACTTTCTAATGTAAAGCGAGTTAATATG